AGCGCTTACGAATCGAACTTGACTATAGGGCATTATGCATAGGCTAGATGGTGTACGAAGAATTGATACGTCTAGATTTCTTTTTTTTATGCTAGGATAGGGAACAATGTTGATGACCGTAATATGCAACAACTTCAAGGAGATCTTATTCTTAAACTTAAAGTATTTTTCTTTTTGCAATTTAAATTAAAGACTAATATTAAACATAAATAAAACACTTATAACAGTTTAAATTGCGAAATATAAAATACTGTCTGTAGGTTACGCGACTAGTACACATTGAAACAAAACACTTCAACGGTTTAAAACGCGATATATATATTAAATACTGTCTATAATTTACGCGAGTAGTACACGTTTAAATAAAACATTTTAACGGTTTAAAACGAATATTCGTTAAACTTATTTGAAAATAATTTTCTCGACCCGACGTTTCGGATGCTTTGCAGCAGCCGTGACCATGGCTGGCCGATGTTAAATTGTTTTATTTAGCGAAATATATCAAAAATATATTTCCCCATGAACCACGGCAGGACCGGAATGCCCGATCGTCATTAAAAATCAAAATATATACATTTAAACGTAAAAAGTGTTTTTTTTTAATTGTATATACTTATTGACTTATTATGTGTGTCTACTAGTACGCTAAACTACGGAAAATACCTAATATGAAATATCTCATTTAAGTGTTATTTTTTATTGGTTATAGTTTCTCTAAAACCAAACCACGAAAATACTACGATACTATTATTTTAATAGGACATCCTTCAAATCCTGCATAACCTATTTCTATCCTACCCTAAAGCATCGATGTACCCTAAGAGGATTTTCCCACAAAAAATGTGAAACACAGATACCAGGAAATAAGCAATATAAAGCGATATAAACATCTTTCCCCAAGCCGCCGTTATAAGGCGATATAGCGTTCGAACTTTTCCCAGCTCCAGCTGATTAAATTCCGAGTGGTTAGTAAGACACGTTAAAATTTCCCTCGAGGATCCATATCAAATTCGATCTGTGATGTTAAAATGGGTAATGTTTCGTCGCATCACTATATAACGTAACATTACTTATATGTATACGACAATATACTTGGCAAGTGGTGTTATTTACTATCAATAAATCTAACTATAAATGCTTGTAAGCAATACAAATCAAATATCAAACATTTTCTTAAGGTTTTATGTATCTAATTTGTATCTGTTATTGAAGTAATGTTATTGATTAACATATTTTAATGTCTCAACGCAAGGAGGGTAACTAATGTATGTAGTTATTATTACTTACTAAGAATTTTTTTGTAAAAGAAACATTACACAGTACATTTAGAAGTAATGCTTTCGTTGTGAAGCATCGTGTAAGTTTAAACTGAAAACGATTCAGTTAGAGCAAAGATTTAATACTGGGGAATACAAGAAAATAAAACCTTAAGGATGTTTACGTGCAGTGTAGAATTTATTGTAAATATACGAATAGATAAACAGAATTGAATGGCGATAGAGTTAGTATTACGAAAGGCAACTTTGTAAGTTGAGTTATTCGTTAGTGATATAATGAAAGCAAGGCTTTTGAAGTCCTTATGCTAGGATTCGCCTACGTTACGTAACGCGTTACAGCATATGTCTCTTTGGCATACAATGTCAATAATGGCTTTAGGTCAGTTTAGGGTAGTTTGATCAATCTGGCGTCAGTCGTTACTTGTGCAAAAAATATAGCATACTATAAAATCGGTTTCGTTTCTCACATACATACCTCCATGTACCAACATACCCGTATTGTCAATTTTTCCAGTAACTTATATGCCCTTGAGAATAAACAGCGCCAAAATCAAAATACTGACTCCAAATTGGTGGTATTTTTAGCTAAAAAAAACTTTTTGACACACGTTCCATAAAAGATTTTAATCTGTGTTTATGTGACATTTTCAAGTCACATAAACATAGATTATAATACCGCATCCAACGATTCGTAGATCTCGACGGAATGCTAGATTCAGGTATATACCTGACTAGGGTTTGATCTATATCAAACCCTGTCAAACTGATAGCAAACATTTCTATCGATCTGCATACCTGACATTCCACATTCCGTTGATAGATATTAATTACGAATGGCATAGATAATAAATAGAAAAGGTATATCGGCTGGAAGTCTCCATTAATAACGTCTACGGATCTAGCTTAGCATTTGGGAATTGGGGGTGGGAATGCCCATTTTGGCATATATATGATATGTAATAAATAATGTTAATGTCATTGTACAGGTAGACAAATTAAAAAACACTAATATATTTCACGTTATACCTTGAATCCAACCAACTTGAATCTATGACAATTTTAACACAAAAAAAAAACAGTAGTTTAAGAAAAGACGAGTGAGACGAGACAAAAACTTACTTTACATACTTTATGTACGTTAGAAGTTTTTGTCCAAAGTTAACACTTAATTATTTTGAAGTCATAAGTTTTTAACCGATTTATACATAGTTCAAACCATCTCAATTAAATAACACGTATCGAAAATGGTGGTCTACTTATGTCCTGAAACTCAGTTACAAAAATCGTAGACATAAAATGTGTATGCAATGCGCTACTTACTTCATTTCGACTTTTCAGATTTTCAGTCATAGACACAGATTACGCTGAAATAAGTTGTTTTTCCCGCCACAAAAGCCAATAACACAGACTATATAGCAAAGCGTGTACCCGCTGAAATTTTACTTAATTATAGCACAAAAGAGTCTGTAACAAAGCACCTCCGTCCAATTAAAAGAGGCCTCTTGAGAGGCAACTTTTGATGCAACCTCAAAGATCTCTGTTTAATGGACTTTCCCCGGCATAAAACTCTTTTTAGATTAATTTGACTTTGTACCTTTACGGCGAGTCATAAAGTTTTATCTAGCGAAGTGGCCTTTATTTTCGTCGCTGTTAAGTTTTCAGCTTTCGTGGTCGGTAATATTAATACTTTAAACACGCATTTTATCGTTTAAGATACCGACTCTTTTCCTTAATAAGGAATGAAAAAATGTACCATATAAAAATCGATTTAAGTATATTGTATGTTTAATGCTATTACGCATGTAGTAAGTTTTGCTTTGTACTTTCTCTAGGCGTGATAAGCTTAAATATTGACTATATTTTAATAAAAAATTAAATATTAATATCGTGTCCCTAAGTTTGTCCTTGAAAAATAATTTGAACTCAAACATACCAAAGCTAGCTTTGATATGTTTGAGGTTAACTAATGTTAAAACTGCGTCTCTACTTCTCACATTACACGATTCTTTGTTGTGGTAATAATTTATTTGTTTTATTTATTTATTATAAATAAATAATAAGTTATTACTTACTTCAATATTTAATATTTTTGTTTAACCACTATGAATACTTGAAAAGTTTAATTCAATAATGCACCCAGTTTGTAAACATCGCAGTCAGTTTATAACCTACGTCCCACAGCCGTTCAATCTCTTGATTACTCTCCTGTGAACTGATAACATCAGATAAACTGAAATTTGAAAGCCCGCAACGGATTACCCGTAGTTATTTTTTTTTTTGCTTATAAATATTTATATAATAAAATATAGCTTTTGTACTTACTTATAAATTTCTTACAAAAATATTCCTTTAATTAATAACGTGTTGTAACTTAAATACTTAAATTTTTATACTAAACTTTAAACTAACTAATAGGTATATAACTAAAAAATGCAATAAAACATTATTCATTCGCCTTAAAGTAATATGATTATGTATTAATTTAAAAAACAACTTTCAATCTATTGTCGATTTATATTATGGGTTTTTAATCATTTGGGATATTGTAGTAAATGGATTTATGATCACAGTGAACAGTTTTGTTAATAAACGATATCATGATTACTTTTAAAGGAAAATAAAATCACTAAAAACTTGTTTTTCTTTATTGAACGACTTGATTTAGTTAAATATGAGGTCTTATTTATATTATTACTGTTAATACACATTTTTATCTTCTTTAAAGCTTTTTATACATATATATTTCTACGATCTAATTTTGTCTATTTCAATAGGAATCGATTAAACGACACTCTCAAGATTATCTCTATTTTGTTATTTCGTAAAGCTCGTAATAACAAAATATCGTCGTACATAATATCCGGTAACTTTCGGCAAACAGTAGTATGTCTCGGTCACTCCTTAGCGTTTATTTCGTTATCTCTGTCTTGAGCGCAGACCGTTAGAAAAGTGATTGTTTATTGTTAAATTAATTACTATTATTTCTCTTTTGTTTTGTCTCAGTATTTTAATGGAAGATAAGTGTTCGTAGCCCTTATTCTCTTCGAATTAATTTTTGGTAAGTTTTGTATTTTTTTGGTACTTTTGCTTGCTATATGCAAAATATTTCATTTATCCCAGTAACGAAAATAAATGGCAGTATTCGTTTTCTTTACGAGTGTACATGCGCCAAAGTTCGTCTAACCTATGTTCAGACTTACCAAGTTACGTCGGCCATATTATACCTATATTGAATAACATTATCTATAGAGAGTGACAGTTGACCTCCCTAACGTCAATTGTCATTTTAAAGACAAAAGACGCGTTTTTTGAAGTTTTTACTTTTAGTTTCACGAATAACGATAAACAAAACTGTTTTGGTTGGGCGTTGTCAATTTGTTTAATTTTGATAACAGTTGATTAAAATACTGATAAAGCCCCTTTATTTGTTCCAATGTATCATACTTGATAAAATTAGTCCACGCTGATAAAAATCGTACACATTAAACACGAATGGGAAAGTGAAAACAGTAGGCACTTATAATACTTCTTTCTACATGATTTTTGATAATATCGTTTATAATCTAAACTTATGGAATCAAGACAGCTTTGAAATGTATATACTTTATTTATATAGTGCTAATTTCATTCAGAAAATTAAGTGATTAATTGATAAACTTCGAGTGCTTCCACAATGATTCATCGTGCATTACTCTTAGACTAATTGTGCAGTCCAGTATGAAAATGAATAGGAAAGCACTCTTTACACTAATGCTCTGTACATCTGTACATTGTCAGTCGAATAAAGATTTATATAATGGGCAGTATATCAATGAGTATTATAATACAAGACCAAAAGACTCAACGAAAGACCATAGAATCCCAAATCCTGGGGACAGTGACTACAGGACATATGTTTACAATAATCGAAGATATGGTGCAGACCCTTCGAGATATAACCCATACAATCCTAACATAAATCAGCCGGGAGGTTTCCCGTATAATCCTATTGTAACAAATCCCTTGGATGAGCAATTTAAATTTAACACAGTAAGTACCACTTTATGTCAATTTTTAATATAATAAATTTAACCTGCCATATACAAACATACAAAATAAGCCATACATTGCTGCTATAAAAGCTGAAAGCTATTCATTGTATTGTTTATATTATAGTTGACTACAAAATTCATGTTTGCATTATTCTACCAGCAATTTCTAAGTAGTTTATAATATTAAAGGCATTTGAAAGGCTCTGGGGTTTTGTTGAATTGGACCTACCCTTTATTTTTAATATGTATAGAATTTTTCAAAGGGGTTCAGCAAAAGTAAGGCTATTTTTCAGCCTTACTTTTGCTGTCCAGGGATCAGGACTTATTTAAATGTTGAGAACAAACACTTGTTTCTATCTGATTGAGCTATTTATAATTAACTTTTTAGAATCGAGACCCAAACAACCCAGATGCTCTGTTTCCTGGTGTGCTAGGTGGATGGAGAGAAGACTTGCAGGGTAAAGAGAGGAGAGACTCACGACAACTAAAAAGAAACATTTTTGTCAACACAAATTATGGCCAAGTGCAAGGTTTTAAGGTATTTATGATGTAATTTAATTCCGGCTTAAAACTTACCCTGTAGTTTGTTAGTATCGTTTACACAATAAGAAATATTTCAGTCTTATTACAATAGAGTTATATTTATATAGATTGATTTAAATTCAAAATCTAATTTCTAGCATGGGAGATTTTTTTAAGGTTTGAAAAATTATTAAATAGGGTTTAGCAATGACCTATTTTATATATAATGAGAATTAAAAATGATGTAAATGAGACGAAAATACAAATCCTACCACATCTTTCATCTCATTAAGTAATTGAAATCTACTACCACATTAGGTCATAATGTGTAATGAGATTATATATTTTAATTTTTTTATTTTTGCCTCCAATACTGTTTTAACGTAATGCCAATGACATAAGTACTGCTACTATTTTTCATTGTTCCAGGTTTATTTGTACGACAATCCAGACCCAGATTCTGGATACAGACCATGGTTGACGCCAGTTGAGAGAATTCAGGGTGAAGTCTCTGTGTTCCTTGGAATCCCGTATGCTAGACCTCCTGTTCTGGAAGGAAGATTTAAGGTCAGTTTTGTTAAGTAATTGCATTTGAAATAACTTAACATGTAGGACACCAAAGATGACCTAAGCACTAAAAATAGCTCAAACTTTACTGGTTGATTATATATATATATAGATATATCACATCCTGCATTTCAGTCATTACCAATAACAAGCTGTGCCAGCGACTTTGTCCATATAGAATAGTATTGTAATATGAAATAATTCAAATTATTTACTCAAGTAAAATACCACGAAACCCTGACAAGGATGCCCCTAATGCAGCTTCATAATGTAATAATGACTATTACTAATTCTTCTCAGTAAGCAGAATGTTTCCAGTAACCTGTCAGTGCATTTAATTTGGAGAATGATATCTCCTAGGATAATGTCGGACATTTATCAGTTAACACCATTCAAATATTTTTCAGCCTCCACGCCAGCACCCTGGCTGGCAACTAATTCAAGCAGTGGATTGGGGTCCAGCCTGTCCCCAGCCAGTTAGATTTACAGGCGCTACGAAAGGCATCCGCGATATGGACGAGGATTGCTTGTATTTGAATATATTTTCACCTAATGTAAGTAGTGAATGAGCTGTGTTGTTTTTGTGGTGTGTGCATACAATAAATTACTTAATAACAATAAATTTGTGCTATATTACATTTTTATGTTCTATCTAATATGTCCTTTAGAAGAACATGCATATTCTTAGCATATTAGATAAGGGACTGTTCCTTCACTTCTTACATACTAAGAAACTTTTAGAATACAAGAACATAGTTCAGATACAAATCTTAGCATTAGCATTCTCATGTTTAATGAAGTATCCTTCTAGAATAATTCCTTCACCATTAAAGCGATTAATCTATGAAACTCTCTCCCCATTGATATTAGAAAAGCTCAATCTCTCCGTACTTTTAAAACCTTAGTGTCTTTAAATCCTTTATTTTTAGCACCACCTACCTATAATACTTTCTTGTTTTCCCTTTGCATTTGGTTGCCTGGAAGAAATCGCTGTTTAGCGTTAAGGCCGCCCTTTATTTATAAGCTAGATCATAAGTTTTTATTCATGTTTATTTTTCTCAATTGTGGTGTTTGTAGATAATAAAGTTATATAAATAAAATAAAAATATCTGATAGATAACGTATAATTCTTAACAACAAAGCTTCTAATACAATTTAATTATTTAAGTACTTAAAATTAAAAGCCCCAGCTTTGTCACAGCCATAATTGAGGTTAATTAGGGCGTCTTAAGTGGGACATTCAAGTGATTCATGGTTTTTAATTGACTATAGAGCTTGCACTGGAACTTGGACACCTCTTAAGATTTTTTATATATCTTTTGCCCCAATTTAAAAGTAATCATTTGATGTTATTATAAAACAAGCAATTTTAAATATCATTTACTATAACGGTATAACAGCTCCATCATTAAGATAAAAAATTCCAAGAAATACGAGTCGCAGTTCTCGACCACACAACACACAAAACTTGTCATACTGTATCTCTAGCAAATGCCTGTGCTTTTCAGTATAAAGAAAGTCTAAAATGTGAAATTCTTTGTAAAAAATTTATAAGTACGGCTCGCAGAGCTCTAAAGGACCCGAAACGTCGGACCGTAGTTAATAATTTTCAGATATATTCAACTAATATTTATTGCGCTTTAAACCCTTAAAGTGTTTTATTTGAATGTAAACTACAAACTACAGAGCATTTAAAGAAAGTCTTTAAATTGAAGTAACATTTTTTTTATCAATAGACGGAAGCTGGTGCAACCGCTCAGAAGTATCCTGTGATGGTGTACATCCATGGAGGTCAATTCACATCGGGCGCTTCCAATTTGTTCCCCGCGCATATGCTTGCCGCATTCTACAATGTGGTGGTTGTATCATTCAATTATAGACTAGGAGCTTTAGGTATGTTTTAGTCAAAAATCTTCCACAATGTACATTACAAATCTATTAATCTCGGTATCCTTTTTAAATGGTAATACATTTAAAATAACCTCATTTCTATTTCTAGGGTTCTTATCAACGGCTGATGAAAATTCACCTGGAAACTATGGTATTTTGGATCAAGTGATGGCTCTGCGTTGGGTGAAGGATAATATAGAGCCGTTCAATGGTGACAGCGGTTCCATCACACTGTTTGGTGAGGGAGCCGGTGCAGCTTCAGCTGGTCTGTTGGCTGTAGCTCCTCAAACTAGGGATATCGTGACTCGAGTTATTGCGCAGGTAATTCTTTACTATACATCGATTATAGATAGAACAAATTTACTTTTTAATTTTTATGTTCATGTTGCGCGAGAGGTCCATCTATCAATTGGTTGAAAAAATTCAACGATGACGTGTAGGACACGATAGCTCAGTTTGTTAGTGCAACGGCACAGAACGCTGTCGATGCCGGTTCGAGTGTTGCCCGTGTCGTAAAATTTTGTCCCATCTATAATCGTTTTTTAATTCATGTAGTGCCATTATGTGCAATAAAAAAAGAAAACTATTAGAGTTCTCTAATGGTATAAATAACTGCTAATTTATTTGTTGTCAAGTTCAATATTGTATTAATATGTGTTTAAATTAACAACAGATTTATGCCACGCGAATATCGCGCAACTTGCGAATGAAAGTCTGATAAATTACGGTAATGATTATAAATAAAAAAAACAAAATATTTCAGAGTGGTTCAGCTCTAGCTGATTGGGCACTGATAGAAGACAAGTTTCGTGTCCAAAATACGTCCCTTGTGTTCGGAAGGCTGTTGGGCTGTCCCATTGATTCCTCGTGGAAGCTGGTCAACTGTTTACGCCAGGGCAGGAGTTTCCACGAACTTGGCAATGCTGAGTTCCAGGTAATAATTTAGTTTGATACTACAGTGTTACCGTTTCACTAATAGATTTATTTTCATTTAAAGATCAGACTTTTGCGCATTCTCCGATCAAAATTATTTTCATGTAAAATATTTTTCATTAAATTTCAGCCACAAGTGGGCTTCATTCCTTGGGGTCCTGTCCTAGAGAATAACTTCACGTTCCCTGGGGATGGCTGGTACGAGGGCTGGAGAGAGAGAGATTGGCATTTTCTGCAGACCACCCCCGACCGACTAGTAGAACAGGGGCACTTTAACCCGGCGCTCCGTTACATGACCGGTGTGACTACACAGGAGGCAGCTTACTTTTTGTGTAAGTAATTAAGACAATAATTCTCTCAGCCGTCTATATTAATGTTATAAAACTAATTAGATTGTATAAAGGCGCTAATCTCAGAAACTACTGTAATTATTGAAAAATCTTGGTTGGAACTTTTAAACATCAGGCTGCGACCAACAAGAGCGAAGTAGGGGGGAGGTGCGGAAAATGATTCATCTTTAAATAATCTAAGATTAAGTCACAATGACCGTTTTTATATCTCATATGGCAAAAGAAATTTTGTCAAGAAAATATTTTTATAATACAAGTTATTCGTTCGCATAAAGTAAAAGATAAATCATATTTTACAATCCATTTCAGTCAACAACAACTCGCTAGCCCCCACCTACGATATAACAGAAGAATGGTTCAACCAGAAGGTACAAGAGTTGGTTATGCGGTACAACTACACGCTCAATCCGCGCGGCGTGTACGAAGCTATACGCTATATGTACACGTACCATCCGGAACCGCACAATGTCAGCGCGATACGGGACCAATATGTACATGTGAGTAATTAAATTATAAATTAAAAATCGATTTTACATTTTAAAAAACATTTTATTTTAAACAGCGTTCCGAGCTGTTACTCTAACTAAGCTACCGTTTCCTACACGTCATTGTCAAATTTTAAAACCTATTGATACATGCACCTTTCGCCATAATTTATGTAATGTCATCATGCGCAATGTCATGTGAGAAATGTTAATTTTTGCAAATAATCTAATAATTGTAAGTTTTATCTGCAGCTGAAGCGAGTTTGTTTGTTTATTTTTGACTGCCTTTGTAGCTCAATGATAAACAAGTGTTAAGCATCAGAAGTTCTCTGCCTTTGTATCCATGGATACAATAAATGAGAAAACAGATGATTACTAAAAAAATATTTCGGCCTAAATGGTGGCAATAAATAATCTTAGCAAATATCAAAATTCCGACCAAGTCACGAACCACCGTCCACAGATAAAAAAAGCCCTAAAATCTAATCGCGTGTTAGTTTCAGTCCGTGGAATTCCGAATATTGAAAGCCAAAATAGGTTTATTCCAACATTAGCTATATGGCTGGGATATTTGACTAATTACCTTACTTGTCAACCACACTTGTCCGTTTTCCTCTATCAAAGAAAAAACCTAAATAAAATGTGCAATTTTTATCGCAAATTCCATATAAAACGTATAAATAAAACAAACAAATCGTAATTATTTAACATGGACTGGGTTTATTGTGTCTTTTTATTCTATTATTCCACAGCTGTTACCCAATCTATGAGGTGTAACGGATATGAGCTAGCTTAATATGCCAGTGTTGTCGTAAATTTTATTGTTATGCTATCAGGCAGCGTGGCCGAGCGGTCTAAGGCGCTGGTTTTAGGCACCAGTCCGAAAGGGCGTGGGTTCGAATCCCACCGCTGTCAAAATTATTTTTATTGGTACATTCTTAAAAATATATAAAAAGTAAAGAATAGGTTTGTGTACACCAGTTGTATCAATAATCTTATTAGAAAAAAGATTGATTAAATTCAATTTATTTTACTAAATAAGCTCTTATGTAATTTTACAATTATATTTCTATTTATCTCAATTGAAAGAATTTTACGACACAGGCGGGACTTAGAGATGACATGATAGCTCAGTTGGTTATAGGTGAAAGGCCATATGTCATCATATGCAGTAATATGTAAAAAATATTATGGTTTTAAAAAGCAAATGTCAAATTTTCGTGCAAATAATTGTATGTTTAATGTAATCATTCCAGCTACTCTCGGATTTCCTCTACCGTGCACCGACCGATAAACTAGTGAAACTTCTCTTAGAACGACGAGTACCCGTCTACATGTACGTCATGAATACCACAGTGGAAGCCTACAGATGGCCTGAGTGGAGACAGTACAGCCACAACACGGAACGCGTCTTCCTAACCGGTGCTCCCTTCATGGACCAGGAGTTCTTTCCGATGAGACAGAGGATCGAGAGGCAAGCCTGGTCTCCAAATGACAGGAACATGAGCCACTTCTTCATGAAAGCCTATTCGGACTTCGCTAGATTCGGGTAATTAAGCTTTATCAACTAAATAATAATAAAAAAATAATAGCATGGTAGCTGAACTGCTTAGAACAGCAGCCACGCTGTATATACCGTTTCAAGTCCCACTTGTGTCATTGAATTTTCCTAATGTACCATTTTAATTGATATAAAGTGCAGTTGTGGTATAAATGTCTACGCGCAATTACGTATTTAAAATGCCTTCATTCAATATTAACTGTGTTCTGTGGAGTGTGGGACTGATTATAAAGAAAAACAATACACCCACTTTTTTTTATTATACCAAACAATGTACTTAAATTGTAGAAGTAAACAATTTTATCATCGTCAATTAAAATTAATACTGAAAGATTTTTTAAATATTTTGTGTATATGTTTTTTTCAGCAACCCAACCCGTTCACGCATCCTTGGCGTCCATTTTGAAATGGCTGAGCCAGGTCAATTGCGTTACCTGAACCTGAACACTACATATAACTCGAGTATACAGCTCAACTATAGGCAGACTAAACTCGCTTTCTGGACTGTATATCTACCGACTGTAATCGGAAGATTTGTACCCACCTACCCTCCTATAACTGAGGTATGTCGAACTACCCACAAAGACCTTTCTTGAATCAAATTTCGTAGTTATTTTCTGTCAAAAATAATCTAGCAATATTTTTTTAGATAGATGAGTGTCATGCGAATTATAGAATTTACATTATAAAATTCTTATTTTCAGTATTGGTGGGAGCCAAAACAACCACTTCAGATAGCTTTCTGGTCAGTTTCAAGTGCTTGTTTGCTGCTAATCGTTCTCCTGGTCGTCTGCTGCATGCTATGGAGAAATGCCAAAAGGTACCGATATTTTTGTTTTTATAAGTAAGATATTTCGATTCGATTCATCAAAATGATTTATCTTTAGTATACCTATTGTTTTTATTACTGAATTCAAAAAAAAGATGGCTTTTTTATGATCGCACTTACCTATGGATCGCTTATAGGTTATTTATATTATATAAAAAATGTAGTTACTATAATAACTTACTTAAGAAAAGTACGATAAGTACCCTCATGCTTTTATATTGAATATAAACAAATTATATCGCGCACAATCGAAAGCCGTCTTTTTCTATCCGCCATTTATATCACATCATTAATTAATTAAACATTTACAATAATTCTCTAACAGGTCTATACCGCCGAAATGGAAATTAATACCGGCCATGTAGGTAAACTAACAAATACTAACGCACCACATATTTTCATCGACGTTTCGATTGAAAATGTCAATTGATGGTTTTTTTTTTATTACGAACTTCCACTTTTTCAATTGAACCGTCGATGTGATTTATACACACTATAATATTACAGAGATATTTATTACAAAAATGTGTAAATGGGAAAGTTGAAGCGTTCAGGAACTGGATAAATAATTTATTTTAAATAGTGTCGGAATGTGCACATTTAGCTCTCGAAAATCTTTATAGCTATATTTATAGCTAATCTAGCCCACTTTTACCATATGAATCACGATGATATATAATAAAATCATTATACAATTTAGACTGATTCTTTTAAAATATTAAATGCGTGCTTAAACTCACTTTTCTTCAAGTAACACTAATCTTAGTGTAATTTATGCTTGTTCTTATAATTTAAAAAACATAATCACCATTAATGAATACTATGTTATACTATTGTTTATATGATTGACAGAGAAACAGACCGGTTCTACAACGGCGATATCTTTATGGTCCCCGAGCTAGAGGAGAGCGGTATAGACAACGCAAACCGTTCCAGAGACAACATCTACGAGTATAGAGACGTGCCAATCAAACGGCCGCAGACGCCACAGACTACGATCACAAGAACGGTATGTAAAAATTATCTTGAAAAAAAAACGAGTATTCTCGTTTAAGGGTAACTAATACATTTCGCGGTTTAAGCCGTTAGTGTTTTATTTATATTAGTTAAACTTAATTAAAAATTACGTTAACTACGACTTAGTACTAGTTGTAAAATAATTTCCAGCAGCCTTGCAGCAGCCGTGGTCACGTATCGGGTTTTAATCCGTTAAAATGTTTTATTTAAATGTGTACTAGCGTAAACTACTGACACTATTTAATACCAATTTATTTATTTTCAGTTAAGTCAGCCGGCTACCCTGCACTCGTCCCGTCCACCCTCCGAAGCCTCGACTGAGTCAGCGATATCCCTCAAAGAGAGCATGGTCTCGCGGACCCCGGATCCGCGCGTGACCCCCGTCCCACGAGCCCGCTCCAGGACTAAGCTGGTCGACGGAGTCCCACAAACAACTGTGTAACTGTGTGTGCCTTTACTTTTTGTAAAATACGTTTTACGTTGTTTTTACAAGCTGTCGTGAACTAAATGATAAGATCAAATACATTTTGAGAACTGTACACATTTAAATAAAACACTAACGGTTTAAAACGCGTAATATATTAGACTCCATCTCCCCGAGACCATGGCTGCTGCAAAGCATCCGAAACGTCTGGCTGTAGTTAGAACAATTTTCAAATAAGTTTAACTAATATATATTTCGCGTTTTAACCCGTTAAAGTGTTTTATTTTAAATGCATATACATTTTTTTAAATTTCTTGACAATATTTTGTCTTATTTCTTTGTATCTGATAAGTGATAGGTACTTTTTGACTTAGTGCTTATTTAGGTATCCTTTAAAGCCTATTTGATTTCTATTGCATTTTGTATACTTTGTTAGGTATAACAACATTTCTTGATAATTTAAAAATCGAAAATAAATTGAAAAAATTTTCGAGGCTCGGGCAGGACTTGAACCGGCATCGTCAGCTTTCCGTGCTGTTGCTCTGAAGAAAGGAAAGCTGACGATGCCGGTTCAAGTCCGCGAGTCGAATTTTTTCAATATTCGATTTTAAATTAATAGTGCCTTCATGTGCAATAACATTGAAAAATATTAATGTTTTCAACATTTCTTGAATTAAAATATTGGTGAATTCATAAATTTACAATAATTAAATTATTTCTGTTTAGTTAACTTAGACTTATTGTAACCACCGCTTATAATATAAGATCTCGTTTAAGTTATTTTTATGCTTCTAATTTAAACACAATGTTCTCTTTTGATAAAACACTTTAACGGTTTAAAACGCGATATATTAGTTAAACTTATTTGAAAATGATTTTCAACTTCAACCCGACGTTCAACTAATATACCGCGTTTTAAACCGTTAAAGTGTTTTATTTAATTGTGTACTACTCGCGTAAACTATAGACAGTACTATTTTCTGATTTGAAGCTTTTAAACGTTAGCTTTTCAAAATCGACAGTCTATTTAGACGTCAATGTTATATTTACAAAAATCTTGTCTGTAATAAAACAACACTTTAGACATTTATATGCATTTGTTAGAATAAAAATGTCTACTAGCCACTTGCTATTGGGAAATGTTTATTTTTTTTGCTTTATAACATATTTTTTTTATAAATTTTATATACAATATTTTTCAGGTGCCTTAACTACATGAACAATTTGCTATGGCATTACCATTTTAGCATATAATTTTATATCTTTATTTTTAATACTAGAAGCGTACTTCATTTTTAAATAGAATCTAAGCGTTTACTTGTAAAGTTACTGACTAGCAGTCGGTAAAGTGGTCTACTTCAACCAGTTTGTTACTGATGCAAAAGACTAAACTACAATCAAACGGTGTCATTTTCAACATTGATATATTAGTTAAATTGAGCAGCTCGCCCCTACTGTCTGGCAGTAGGATAATTAGGATGTGAAACATCAATAGGATCTTGGTACATAGTGTTAAGTTAGATATATATATATATTAGATATATTCCTCATAAAATTTAGAATATATGTTTTGTGATCGTTCTGTCCGTCCATCTGAAGTGCAATTGCTGTTTATAACACTGCCAGTGTATTTTGTAAATAAAGATTATATGTATCTCACAGATGTTTTTTTTAATGTTGTGTTATAATTACCTTATTACTTCCAAGAAAATGGCAAATGTCATTAAAATACTAGGTATATGGGTGTCTTAAATTATTAATTCTCACTACATCATATTCGGGTTTCAAATAACAAACTGATATAAATCGAATTTGCAAGTCTGCACATAAAATTGAATTTGGCAACTCAAAGGCGACTAAAAGCGATATTAGATTTATTATTAATATTTAAAGAACCTTGGAAGTATAATGAAGCATGGCCTGACATAATTTAGCCATATTGCGTTTCACAATTAAAAAATAACACTGATGAAAATAATCGCCCTCCTGCTAACGAAGACTTAATTATCACTTACAGCTAACAGAAGTCTGCTTATTAAAGTATTTCTTACACAGAGAAAAACGAACTAAATTAAAGTCTAAAATAATTACAAATAACAGCTGCGATGAGAATAAGAGATTTATTTATTTTTATATTATTGGGTACAACGACAAACTTCTGTCAGCTCCCTTGCAGTGTACGGGGAGCAACCTGCTCCACATACTCGGCGTGCATCCGCACTTCCTCTGGGTAACAAGATTCCAGGTGACGTCATTAGGTCGACCACGTAGTTGGCACGTAAAAGGCCGGCTGGGTAGCTTTCCTCTTTATCCGTGGTTTCCCTCTAGAAGTGAAGCAAAATTTTAAAACTATAACACCAAACAACAGTTAAGCAATTAAATGAACGAATGCTTAAAACACAACAGTCGGAATAAAAACAAGTCAACTAATTATTCCTACTGACTATTTTATAAGCTTTTTAAAGGGGGCGTAAGTAAGTAAGAAACAATTAGCTCTACATATAATCGTTCTACGCCCTTGATTTGAGAACTGGTAGTTAATGTAAATTTAGTCTATAGTTTTTTATCAGGTGTGACGTTAACGATGACTAGGACAGGACTTAAATCCACAGCGTTCCCTGCTGTTGCTCTGACCAATTGAGCTACCGAGCCGTGTGGTGAGACGTTCATAAGTGTATCTAATTACCTACATGGATAAATTACTTTGACTAACTTCTTTCGGTAATTGTCCTATAATTAAGTTCAACTGATAACTATTTCAAGACGTAAATAATGCGCTAACAGGATCTATTTCAGGTACAGCGATCTCACACCATGCGTGCGCGCTGCTCTGTCTATGCAATGAACACGGCAAGCCAACTCTATCTGCTAAGACTTTGTATAGGATAGCACGTTCTAGCGCACCGCCGCATCGCACCCAGCCCAAACCTAGTACACGGGTACCCAAATCTTCCTGCAAACAATAATAGGGTAATCACAAAGTACAGAGAAGAATACTACTTTATACTTTTTAATAACGTGTTAAATGACCATAAACAAAGATGAAATTCTGGTTTCAATAGGTTTTGCTCTAACTTTATTTGGATATAAACAAGTGATACTGAGGCACGTTGGACTTCGTCTGGGAACCATGATGTTAAATGGATGGTAGGAATATTTAAAAGGTCGAGGTAATAAACTACCGCCCACAGATGAAAAGCCATCGAGTTAAATCGATTTTCGTTTTCAGTCTGTGGATTTCCGAATATACAAAGCCAATATGGTTCAGGGTATTCCTCTACTATAAAAAAATTGTAAGCGATAAAACCGCTCATTCTTACAATATGCTTTAATAGTTTCTTTCATACAATTAATTTAGTAGCAAACGTAGGTTACCATCAAGTCGCCCAGATGTAGCGCAACACTTGGCATACTACAATCTCGTTCTTGGGTTAACCCACTCATCTGTTCAGCTACAAACTCGGCTAACAGCTGGGCGCGCTGCTTCAACGATGACGTCACTTCTTCGCATTTATCGCGATATCTGCAATCGCATATAATAGTATAGATTACCTTTTTATAACAATGGTCATAATTAGATCCTTTGAGTATATAGAAAATCTATTTAGATGGCAAAAACTTTATCCAATTAGCTATAAATCTAAATAATTTTTAATTAACCTTTTTTTCATGAATCAACCACCTGACTTCATAATGAGCATCTTCTATCTCGAAGTAATGCAATGACTTGGCCCTGAAATAATATAATATACTTAAGTACATATAATAGTGATATCACTTCATGAAATCTTCCTTAAGGTAACGAGGATATATATTTATTTACATATCGTGCGATTTTTTAAACATGCTTACTCAATTGAATTATGAAGGCAAGGCAAGGCTCTGAAGGCATGAGAAAAGTAAACAGTGCTGCTAAAACGATGGAGTGACGTCCATAATCCCCCTTAGCGCCTTACCCTGTCTTGTATTTAATTTTGTCTTCTTAATTCCTATGACTAACACATACCAATATACCCAACTATCACTCATTAAATTAGTGGGAATTATTTGAAGAATGACTGCTGGACGAACGGGTGCTTTGAAACGTATAGAATATTATTTTCTTATAACATGAGACTAACGGATCTCCGAACCAAATCTTCAGTCGCAGTAAGTAATTACGCAAATTAGTATCATCAGGTAATTTCGGAAGTCTCAGGCGACTGGACATGGATTTGCCCAGTTTTTGTTCAGATTGATTATCTAGAAATACAAATCATATAAACTATAAGATATTTGAAACCATTAATATTTTTCACATGTTATTGCACATGAAGGCACTATATAATTTAAAAATCGAAAATGAATTGAAAAAAAATTTCTCGATTCGGGCAGGACTTGAACCGGCATCGTCAGCGTTCCGTGCTATTGTTCGAATCACATGAGCTACAGTGTCTTACGCGCCATACCTTTTTTTCTCATTGAAGGTTTCAAATATATTGTAATTTATAATATTCCTACATGGTGTTCTTATATCGAGGTTGGACACGGCGTCATACGGCTGGTGGAACATCGCTATGAAGACAGGGTCGTGATGAGGAGGTATGCTATCCATAAGTTGCTGAATCGTGGAAAACGGACCAGCTAAACGCTTCTGCACGTAGAATCCTTCCTTTTGTAGAAAAAAAAAACAATAAAAAGTAGAAGTAAACCGAATGTACAAAGCAAAAAAGGGCGTCACTGCATCTTGTTTAGATAAAGTATTTCACATCCTTCAAATTTTTTTTTTTTTTTTTGAATTGACTATTACGTATTGTGTTCCTATGGAGCCACGAATACTAACCGGGCGTTTTGGGCGAGCGCGAGAGCGCTCGCCGTGTTTGCGGCTAGACCAAGGGTGCCCCGAGGGGGGGCAACGGCCTCGGCTTGGACCGCCGCAATGCGGGTGGGAGCTTGAGGAGCTGGACGGAAGCTCACCCGGGTGAGCGGTACGCGTAGCGAATGACCTCGCCTACGCCGGCGTAGGCGGTTTTGCGGGCGATCGGCACCGGTGCCGGTCGATCGCGTAGCGACGAGGGTTTCGACGGCTGTGGTTAAGTTGTCAGCGAGATCGGAGAGAACGTCCTTCAAATTATTCCCATGCTTTTCTGTACTGTGTCATAATGAATATTCAGCAAGATCGCGTTTTATTTACGGAGAAATAAGGTTTCCGCTCCCTACCTAATACGTTTTTGTGTTTTCGAGGATTTGAACGGTCTATCCTAGTTTTTTAAAAAAAAAGAAAAGGACCCCCCCCGGGGGGGGGGGGGGGGGGGGGGGGGGGGGGGGGGGGGGGGGAAAAAAAAACCCCACAAATCCCCCCCCCCCCCCCCCCCACTTAACAAAACACTAATCAAAAAATCAAAAGGCAAAAAATCTTTACAAAAGAGACGAATATAATATATAATAAAAATTTAACACACTTTAAATACGAACTTTATACCTGAGTAAAATCGTTGATGTCCAATCTTCCGGTGTAAGCCAGCTTGGCTGAGGGGTGGTGTCGAAATATAGCTTCTAAGGCTGATTCCCACGCACTAACTGTATATCTCGCTTGTTTGTTCTCAACCATACTGAAATAACATGTAACATGTTAATTTAAAATCATCGATTATTATAATATATTGTGTTTTTATTCTAAGTCACGTCTAACGTAAAGACTTGAGTTGGATAACCTAAAAACCTCTCTACCAGGAGGAGATGTGGAAATGGTCAGCTGATGGTGTGGACTGATCACCCGGCCTGCTATGGGTATCCCCGATAGAAATAATAATAATATAAATACTTTAAATTAGTTGACAAGGAATATGAAATCATTATTATAGGTTCTTTACACTAATTATTTCACGCTTCTTTCCCTGTTGCTTGCTGTAATAACTCGGTTCGGTGAATAGAGTATAGACAGATTTATTGTCACTAACTGAAGATTTTATCATAATAATCAGGCCATTGTTAGAGACTTTTTAATATAAGTGTACGCCTTTAATCTGACCAAATATGTATTTTTTTTTATTTGTACAGAACGTTTTCTCACGATTATTTTCAGTTTAAACATAAAACTACAGGGGATAAAGATATGACTAAGAAAGATGGGTTTTAATAAAGTATGTATAAGAATACCAACTAGTGAATCGTTCCCAACTCCAAATACACATCAGCGCCGTCTTCAGAAACACTTGCACTGATTAGTAGGCACAGAGCTGTACGTAACCCGATGTGCTCTATGTGTAGATTGTTTGATACCACCTTTATAACCAAAAAATGTCTTAAAATTAATCCCACTTCTTCCTGTGGGACATGGGTCGGACACATTTAATTTACAGCCAAGTAATCTTCAGACTTCAGTGCCGCGACCAATTAAATTTATAATTTATCTGGGATTCGAACCCAGGCCCTGCAGTGCTTACCATCATGCTAAGCTCGTAACTGAAACAATATGGTTTGAATTTGTCTCTTTTTTTACTTTAGTTTATACAAACACAGCCACGACCAACTAACGATTTCTACGTAATTAATCGACAATTAAATAGAGAAAACCAACATATGTTTTGTTGGTTACATTTTATATCATTACGCAATAAATATTATTTACTAGAAACGTACTTCTTCTCCCTGCTTTGATGTAAAGAGATCCTTAGCGACATCCTCTTTCATGAGACCGCTAAGTACTGTGCATGTCATTATTTTGAGGCAGGTGTCAATACGCTATAAATAAGTAAAGCTTTCTTAATAACACCAACCTTTGCCTATTAACTTGTTATCCTTTTTATACTGAATAATAAAGAAGGTAAACAGTAGGTAACCTGCCCACGTCAGTGTATGTATTTATAGGGCAATGATGTCTGTGTAACTATATACGCTGTTACAACGGTTCAAGATACCCAAAAAAATATGTATATAAATAATGATTCTCGCGGAAAAGATATTACGGACATACTTGAAACGTTAGAGAGTTATATATTATAAGGGGGACGGCGCGTACGCAGTCCCCACTACCAAAAATTACGCGTCCGAGTTATCCACATTAGGGATAATCGCAGAGGTCAACCCAACCGCAGTGCAATGGAGAGGTCTCGCTCTGGGGGAACCGCCTTCCTGATCACGGTATCCCCTACGCCAGGTAAGTATGATTTATTTTAACTGACAAGAGATTATAAGCGTAATGGTGAATACTTTGAAAGCGCGATTTAGGGTTAAAAGCGACATCTATCAGTAAACAGGACGAACTAGAATTAAAATTGCTTTCCACGCCATCTACAACGGAAACTTGCGACACGATGTGTTTCTATTCTTAGCAATTACTTAGTTACTTGTAAAAGCGAACCAAAACCAAATTAATTATATAGATTCGCCCCGCGGTGTAACTTATTTACATTAATTGGTTATTTTTCTTATACTTTGCAGCCGTTTTTAAAAAGTTGGTGTACTTAAAGATTAATTCCGAATTTTATATATTTACTCATCATAATTCAAAATATTATTCGCATATTCTTTCGCCTTATCACACACAAATTTTACTAAGTTTTGTGATCTATATACCTACACTTCGGTCTCTTTTCCTCATACCGTATACTTTTAAAAATAATTGTACCTGTAATATATTTAGCAGTTCCATCATGAACTCTGGGTTCAGCATAGCTCGTGTGCTGACGTGATAGTTCTGTAGATTGATGTAGCATTGCACTGCAAGGCGTTGCGCTTCTATAGGATTTTCTTTGACTGAAAATGTAAATTTACAACTTTCAGAAAATTAATATTAAGTACTAATTCTTGAGCCCAACATCACCAAATATACAATAGATCAGAAAAACGCTTATTTCTAGTAAAATATAAATAATATTAAAAGATTGAAGACTTATTGGATTTTAGATTCTACTTTTCTTTTAACTTTGTTGGTGACTTACCAGCGAAGATTTAAAGTTAAAAGTAGACATAATATTGTTCATATGCACACTTACATTTCTTGTTAATATTTCTCAATGACGCAAAGGTTTTCGGCTCTATGAGACTAAAGGCTGCCTTAGGTATGATTCGACAGAGTTCCGCTAGAGCTCTTAAAGCATTAATTCTTATGTAGAACCAGACTGCGGCATCGTCCGCAAGAATCGCTTGAAATTATAATAGCACATGTAAAATTATATTATACATTTAAATAAAACAGTTTAACGGTTTACAACGCGATATATATTAGGTTAACTTGTTTGATAATTTTTTTAACTACGGCCCGACGTTTCGAAACGTTGTATATCACGTTTTAAGCCGTTAAACTGTTTTATTTCAATGTGTACTACTCGCGTAAACTACAGACAGTTTTACATTATATAGTATTTATTAACATTACAGTAAATATTTAATAAATACATTAAACCCTACATAGGGCTTTATTAGTACAACATTATTTATTTCTGAATCACTATCATCATTCGATAAGTTATCACGAAAACATACGAGAGAATAGTTGTAAGTCGCAATATTGTAAATTCCTCAGTATTGTGTACTTACTACCGTAACAGAACGTTACGTTTTGTTACTTTTGATTTAACAGTTTTATAATAAAAGTAAAGTTTGATGCTTACCACATAACGCTTCAATTATATTCGTATCAGACATCCGAACTGCAGCTGGTAGCAGCTTCGTCATGTTGGCGACACCCATTGCAGCATCAGCCAGCAACTCAACATTAGAACTCAACAGTTGGTGGCAGAATACCAGGTCAGTCCCGGTTTCGTATAGAGCCTAATGGTTTCGCTCATTTGACTATATTTTAATAGTAAGTACCTATGTAAAAAATCTCAGTACTAACGTCTCTTCCATTTGAAGTAAATGACATCTTAGTGAGTACACCCAAGCAATGTGGCTTCATAGCCGGCAGAGCCATCTCTAGGTACGCCAGAAGACGGAGTATACACCCCGATTGGTAAAGGTGAGCAGCATTCTCCTCCGTTTCTACATAATTTCGCAACACACCCAGCACTTGTGTGTGTACGTCACGGAATTCGTAAGACTACAAACGCATAATATAATAGAATACTGAACAAAAAAGAAAAGGTCAGGGTCCAAAAGTAAGTAGACCACAAACCTCAAGTATGTCGCAGAGATCCAAAACACCAGTTGAAGCCCTAAACGACTTCTGAACGACCAAATCCTTATATCTACAGATGAGCTGGTCGACTGTCTTCAATGCAGCATGCTGTATGGCCAGGTATGGACTCTGCATCAGAGCGAGTAGGGACGCCCAACTGAACTGCTGATTTTTTGTCACTTCGGACGCGCATATCGGATCTTCAAGGAGATTACTGAGGGTCTAAAAACCAAATACCATTTTTGCTTAATAATTGTCTTTTATATTCAACTCAATTTTTTTTTTGATATCAGAATAAATCGTTCGCACTTGTAAACAGTTCTTCTGTACATCAGGGTCCAAGCTGTTCTTCATCCTATTACAGAGGCTGTTCAAAATATTCGCGGACACCAGCTGCTCGCATCCTAGCGGTTCTCGCGTCAGTTCTGATAGAACTAACGAAGCGAATTCCAGCACGAAAACGTCTTCAATCTGGAAATATACGTAATTAAAAATTTTACAATTAGTTATACTGATATACACGTATAAGTTTTCTTTCATAGGGCACGCCAAGGGTAAACGGTAGCACATAATATTTTAATCTTTTTATTGGCTTGTCTACAACATAATTTAAATTATTTTTGAACTAATATAACACGTTTTACTTTCAAACGTTATTATTCGATATAAAAGAAATTAGCAGCAGCCTGTGCAAACTGCTCTCAAGTAAAAAAGTAGTGTAAAGAATAATATAAACAAATTAATTATCTTGCCTAAAACTCATTAAAGTGTTTGTTCTTTACTACGTCTGGATGTTATGGCGTTTTTTAACCTTTAAATTACCTTTACCAACATAAATGCGATTTTCCTCAAGTTCTGTGGATTAGCAAGTACTTGTTCTGGACCTCTTGGCAATTGACAGAGTTGTGCTAACGCCTTCAAAGCAAACCTCTTTATATTTATCTCGGGGTGTTCCACGTGAGGTAGAATATATTTTATGGCGTTTAAATCGAAAAGCACTTGGCGATTTTGAAACTCTTGCGCAGAGAACTTGGTGATAGCTCGTAGAGTCTGGCGAAAGTCTTCGTTTTAATAACTAAATTGCATTTAATAAGAATCTTCATGTTATAATATTTGTCTATAAGTTTAATTATAAGCCATGGTTTGAATGATGAAATAGCACCATAGCAGAAGTCCTTAATTAAATATCTATTTAGAGTAAAAATATTTGACCACACGGGCAGGACTTGAACCGGCATTCACAGGCCCCATAGGTTCCTGTGCTGTCGCGCAATCTTTCAAGTTTCAAGTCCCATCCGGGTCGGAATTTATTATTACAATCTAATTAGATTTTTAATGTATATAATGCCATTATATGCAATAATCGTTTTCTATAGGAGTGTCCCAATTTTCTTTAGTTATTTTCAATTTATAATAACTTTTCTTACTTGACATAATATTTCTGCTTCCTTTGATTCTAGAAGTAAAATCGACGTGTACGCACTCTCTGGCGTTATGTTATATGGGTGAAAAGTGAAATCTTTCTTCTCGGCGGATCTGTTGTCCCTTTCCTTTTGTAAAGGTTTCGCCATTTTATTTGTTTAGGTATATAGAACTATTTTTAATAACTATGTCAACTCAAAGATTGCTCTGTTTTGAAAAGTAATATTTCAGAAAAATTACAACTATTTTTTTAATTAAATAGTATCGAAAAAGGTTTTCATTTATTATAAATAATGTATTTATCAATGTAACTGTACAGTATGGTATGCAAAAATAAAAAACAAAAAGGACAAATTCAATAGGTAATAACTTATTTCTCGAGGAATTGTATTAATCTTAGATATTTATTAAGACTACCAATATTGGTGAAAACAATTGTTATGGACTCAGCTTCACAAAATTATAATATTATTAAATAATATATTTTACAATTATAAGTCAACAGGCTCAATATACCAAATATATGATGACAATATTATAATGATACAGTAATAGTATAAATGAATAATATATGAAATATCTTTGTCCATGAAAATAGTGAACACGACGAGTAACAATCATGTATCTGGATAGTATGTTCTAAGAAGTTTTCATAAGAATATGACATTCTTATGAAACCTCCTTTCAATTATGGCTAAATAATGACAGTTTCGTTCATCACAACATTTGTAACATTTACTCAGTCTTTATGCGTAAAGATAATATTTTTGTACGCTTTATAGGTTACGTAGCACGAAGATTCAGGGTATTCCAGGAGGTATGGATTTTGCCGTGGTGGGGGAATGGTTGGGTGACCGCTATACCACTGTGGATGCTAGATTCAATGGTATTGATGGTCAAACTGTTTTCCACCTGTGTGGTGGCAGCGATAAGGGTACTTATACCACCAACTATGAAGAGCTTGAACGGAGAAACAATACTGGTACACGCCTATAAGACGCTATAAGATAACAAATTGAACAGGAAAAAAAGTTGTATATTTCTTATCTTCAGCTGTATCACCTTTATATATAAAGATTTACGTACCTATAATCGTGGTTAGATGCTACAAGAAATGATTTTAATCTTCAATTTTCTATTCAAGTCAAGTCATAGACTGCACTTTCAACATAATTATTTGCTTAAGATTTTAAGTTCCATTGGTCCAAAGCGAAGCCAATGCCTTTCCTTGGACCTAAGTAGTATTGGAGGCCCGCGAGTCATTCGTAAATAATTTAAAATAGATTAAGTAATTTTATAGAGTGAAGATTAATATAAAATTTAATTACATTATGTGTGTCTAAGTTAGTTGTAGGTCTACCATTTGTAGATAACCGGTGCCGGCCAAGGCTTGGGTCGAGAGCTGGCCTTGCAGTTAGCGGAGCTTGGTGCGACAGTGATCTGCTGGGACAAAGACGCAAGAAGAAACAAAGCTGTTGTGGATGAGATTCGAAAAAAGGATGGAGATGTATGAACCATTACACTATATAAGTATTTTACAGCCTAACCGGTTGGTAAAACCGACTGCCACATTAATTATATGATGATAATCCAAAGAATAACTACAAGACCCAATGATAAAATATAATAGGTATAAGTAGTATTATTATGACACTCTTTTGAAAGTGGCTCTTTATAATGATTACATAATTACACCTAAAGGTTTTTGACCCTATATTTTAGGACGTCAACATAATCTTTTCCAGTCTTACGGGTTCACGGTGGACGTAACAGTTCGCGACCAAGTCTCTTCTCTCGCGACCTGCATAAGCCGACAAATAGCCGATGTGTCGATGGTTATTAATAACGCCGGTGCCTTGAATTGTGCGCCACTAACACACCTCAAATCAGAAAGCATCGCTAAACTCATTGAAATCAACTTGCTGGCGCATTTTTGGGTAATTTATTTTCACATATTATATCAAAAATTATTATGGGATACGGGTTTCCTAAATGAGGTTTTAATTTAGGTACTATGCTGGACAGATGCGTGTTGGCAGATCACAGTTATCATTGATATATGTTGTCAATAGATACCTACTCCACAATGATAAATAGAATAAACAGAAAACTAAATTATTATCATGTTCATATTAATCAAAATTCGATTTCAACAATATTTGAGGCCTTTTTTTTCGACAGCCAGACCAGAAAACTGATTATTTTTTATGTTAAAGGTTCTGGAAGCATTTCTCCCGAGTATGATTAAACGACGACAGGGACATATAGTAGCTATAAACTCCAGCGCAGGACTAATGCCGTGCTCGGACATGGTGCCTTATTGCGCCGCTAAATTTGGATTAAGAGGTATCATTGATTTAAAGAATTTCACCGGAAAAAAAATATTATATTTTAGAAAGCCTTAGTAGGCACTATATGGATGCATTGTATTCTTATATCAAATAAATCATCTTATAGATAAATTTATAGTTATTTCTAAAATAGGTCTAATGGACGCATTATCAGAAGAATTGCGCTTAGACACTTGGACAAAAAACATACACACAACATCTGTGTACCTGGCGACATGCTCAACAGGAATGTACCCACCACCATCCCACAGATTTACTTGGTGGTACTCTGAAATCACTGCTAAGGAAGCAGCTAAGGTCATCGTTGAAGGTAGGTTACTTAATCTGTAACTCAGATTACTGCCTTTATCATAATTATACAAAAAGTATAAATTAACAAACTCTGTAATCATTTAAATAACTAAGTAAGTAACTGTCTATTTCTTTTCTCAGGTATTCGAAAAAATCAGAAACTCATTAGTATACCTTCAGTGATGAAACCCTTCATAGATTTTAACAACCTTATGCCTTTCAGAATAAGGATTATATTAACGGATTTTTTCAACTACCCTCACAGAGGCTGGTTTTGTTTTTGTTAAGAATAATTATTTAGAGATATTTTTATAATGATATATTCTCTAAATTGTAGTTTGGAATGTTTAATATTGTAATTTTAGATTATGTGCTTATCTCAAGAAACATTTTTTTCAATACCTCAATGTACCTATGTAGGAAGGATTTTAATAAACATATGTGAATTATTATTGCTGTACTTTTGCCACTTTTACAGATAGAAGACGAAGATAGTTCACCATCCTACTTTGCATGACATAGAAAATGAAATATTTTGATACAACCTTACAAACACTTATGTTTATTTGAGTCAATACTCCTTATAGAAATTCCACATTTTTCACACATAATCATCTCTTTGAATTTTTCCTCAGCTTCATTAAACTTATTAAACTTGGCACTATGTTGTGAAGAATGGCGTAACAAGGTCAGTTTAGAGGAGAAGCATTTACCACAGGATTCGCAGAGGTGCTTAGAATCTTTCTCTACTGTATGTTTTTGAACATGGGTGTACATTTCTTTGCGATTAACTGTTGAAAAGTTGCAAGCTTTACATCTGAAAAAATAATAGTGTTTTGGTCTCAATGATCACAATACTAATTATATTATAATATTAATTTTCTTTGCCAAGAAATGAAAGTGACCAGTTAACAAATTTGGCTATAGACCAAACTTCACTTGTATAACTTTCTTTAAACTAAAATTTATTTACAACTTACTTATATTTACAATTATTTAAATCACTATGTTCTTTCTTCTTGTGTTTATTTAGACCGTCATTACCCATAAATGAATGACCGCAGATATCACACATTCTTTGTACTTCCTGTAATATATGCTTTTTGGCGTGTTTGAAGAGCTGAAACCGTTCTGAAGAGGTCTCCTTACATTGCTTACACCTATACATGAAGCCCATGGATGCTATATGGTCTACATTGCAAAATTTGGTGTGCAACATTAACTTCTCTTTATTATTAAACTTTCTACCGCAAGTACAAGTTAGAGGTGCTGTTATGTTATGAGTAAGTAGATGCTGGATCATTTTGTGTTTTGAATTGAACAATTTTTTACATAGAACACATGTACGGCTTGCACTCTCACAAACACTTAAATGCCTAGATAATGTTTGAATGCTGTCCAAAGTTTCATTACAAGCAAAACATGAATGTAAATTTTCATTTGTTTTTGGTTTTGATTCTTTCTGTAGTAATTCTTTCACTATCTCTATATCAGAGTCTAAAACATCTATATCCATATTAACAGCTTTCTTTTTAGGGCTTGGTACTTTTTTAAATTCTGATCTGTCTAACATATTTACTATGCTTGGTATATCCTCCTTACCAAAGTTGTTTAAATACTCTTCTATATTAGCTGTGTTATTTAAGAATTCAAGAAGGGAATCTGAGTTATATTCAGAGTCTGGTAATGGATGAATAAAAGTTTTCAGCTCGCCTGGTTTTCGTTTTTCTTGTATGGTTGTTTCTAACCAATCGTTTGAACAGCTTGCGTTGAGTTGAAAATGATAAAAGTTACGTAGCTGAATCACACAGGTCTCACAAATATTATTAGGAAGGAGATCATTTTCAGTAATATTTACTGGAAGGCAGGATTTAATATGTAACTGCACAGAGGGGTCGTCGAATATTGATATATGCTTAGATTCGACGTCTAGGCAAATTCGGCAGTACTTTTCATAGTCCTCTTCCATATTAAAGATTAAAACTAAGCTTCACTGCTCTAATAAATAGAATTTAAAAGAATTCAAAACTATTAAAATAAAAAAGAAAACAATAGTGAAGTTATTTTTTGATTGTACTATACAGTCCAACGTCGACTTATAATCGATTATTCGAATCATCGATTTGCTAACGAACATGCTTAAGAGCCGATTTGTCAGCAAGGTTTCAATATTTACTGCTTATGTACGTTATTTGTCAATTGTCAACTGTCAGCTGCGGTCGTATTTACATTGCGTTTTCGTTCTTTTTGCATTTTAATCAAATAAAGAAAATACATACTGCATTAGTGCGTTTGGCGGGGACACTCGTGCAGTTTATGCGTCTCGTTGATGTGAATATTTCTGCAAGAATGAACTGAATAACGCTGTAAAATATATCTTTGAGTGATAAAGATCTTGGTGGCTAGATGTTAATGCGTCGTAAGTGACGAAAATAATAAACCAGGCTTGGAATATTTAACAGTGTTCATTGGCTTTATAATGGCAAATACAAACACAAGCCAGGAGGCCGAAGAATCTCTGTTGTATTCAGCGCGCCACGGCGAATTAGCTGTCGTAAAGGCCCTTTTAGAAGCGAAACACGAAGGCAAATTGACTTTAAATCTGAACTGTAAAGGTATGTAGCGATTCATACAATAACACTTACAATATAAGTCTAAAATAACTGTTAAAAGTAAAAAAGGGGTGTAAGTTTTCCCCTGTGATATCAACGTAATAATTATATAATAATAAATTATCTTAAATTTAGTGTTGTGTTTGATGGTATATATTTACTTAAATTTTATATCATATAGTAAACTGTTTTTTTTTCTTGTTATTCATTTATTTCATTAAGTTACTTTAAAATAACTCTTGAATACATAATTATCTACTTTCCCATTACTGACATTGAACACAAATTTGATGTTTCATATGACATGTTTTGATACAGCAACTGGTTCATTTACATTATCATCAAGGTATACTCAACGTTATGAATAAATTATAAACTCATTAAAGTATTATAAAATGTGTGAATTGAAATGCTATTGTGTAATATTTATAAATAACACTGACCAATAACTGATTGTAGATTTTCATATTCTGGGAATTCTTCAATTTGCATTATGTGCTAATATAAGTTACGGAGGCAGTTAGTATGAATTGAATCTAGTAATTTATAGTTGTTAAAATAAAATAAATTACTAAGGTGTAGACAAATTTTATTAAATCAATTTAGTTATTTTAAAAACTAATTTATGCACTAAAATATTTTTATAAATGTAATTATTGACAAAATCTGAAACATTTTATAAAGATATGATTAATAATCTATAGTACATTTTAGGAAAGATAAGAGGCAACCTAGGATGGACTCCGCTTCACCTAGCAACATATTTTGGCCACAAAGAGGTAGTGGTAGTACTACTGGAAGCTGGAGTTAATGTCGATGAAGTAAATGAGGATGGGGATACTGCATTACATAAAGCATCCTTTATTGGCAATGAGGTAAGCTTGTGGACCTCAACTTCATTTCAAAATGGTTCCTGGATCTTTTGTACAAATTCAGTAATTTCTTATTTCATTAAGTAAATATAGAAAAGAGAAGATTTCTCTAAACCATTGCGGCATGGAACTGTTTTGTTTGCTAAGCAAAACAGATACAAGGTTAGAATTTTGGAAATTGATTATGGATTTGTTTAAGGCTTTGTTTAAGAAGCTTATAAACAGATCAACTGTAAACTGTATATTATCCCATTGTATAAGATGTATTTTTATATATAATGTAATAAAGACATATATTATAAAATAACATATAAGTATCTTCAAGGAATTGGTGATTCTTCTCTTAAATCATAATGCCGATGTAAATATTATGAATGGTGAAGGGAAAACACCGTGTGAGGTATCTAAAACACAAGATGTGCAAAGATTACTGGAGGCGGCTGATAGAGCAATGCGTCTGGAGAGGGAGAGGAAGCTGTTGAATGCTGCTAAGGATGGGCGAATTGAAGATGTGCAGGAATTGGTGAGACATATATGTTCAACAAAATGCTGATAAGCAAGCATAGTGTCTATAATTACCAGAAATTTAAAATACCTTCTTTCTTTTTTTAGAACAAGAAATTAGTTACAACTTTTTTATGGACCAGCAAAATAAAATTGAATCTTTATTATGTATAATCCGTACTTGCGATAAAATAAAAAATAGCATATATAAATTATCTTGCTCTGCAAGAAAACGAATATTTTGCATTTGTAATGTAAATATACATAATAAATACATTTGCATATCTATATTTTTGATTTATGGAATAAGAAATAGATGAATTCTCTTATCCACAAACCACAGACAGGAAATACGATAGTGAAAATCGATACAGATGATCCTCGCATAAGCACTTAATATTTGTATGCAAATAACATACATATAAGATGTTAAGTTTTATCTTTGCATGTTCTATATGACTTCCGTGTTGTTACTTTGCTAAAATAGATTAATATAGTTCGAATAGATACCCTAAAACATTTAACCTTATGACTTGGCATTCTGGTTGGTTTTAAATTGCACTTAAATCCTGTAGATAATATTCGCCATATTAATCTTTTCTGATAGTTGAGTGGCTCTAATCCGCCCAACATAAACTGCGTGGACGCCCAGGGGAATTCTTGCCTCCACTGTGCGGCGTACCGGGGTCACGCTAGGGTAGCTGTTCTCTTACTGCAGAACGGCATCGACACTACGCTCAAAAATAATGGTGGTAAGTTCTACCAAATATTCAGGGTGTTTTTTTTTATTTGGTCGAAAAGGCTAAAAATATGCTATAAATCTTGCATACACTTTTATATCTGTTTACAATCAAATCTGTACTGTATTTTACAAATGTTGGAAATTCATGTCACAAGAACGTAAGCTTATATCAAAACAATTAAAACTTGACTTAAGTAAGAGGTATATAGAGCATAGAAAACATGACTGTTTTGATATTTACTGTTACAGGGCAACTAGCGATAGATATAGCGAAGGACAATGATATGCGCGAAGTACTTAGTGTTCGACCTGTGCAGAGGTTACAACGGACTGCGTCGAGGTTTGAGGGACCCTTGCTCAAGAAATCTAGGTTTCTTGGATGGAGACCAGTTTGGGTTAGCAAATCACAATTTTGGGTTAATATAGCAACATGTGGGAAAAACTGCTCGCTCAACTGATGTTCTGAAGTTTATACATACGCATACAAAAAAAATATCTGTATAATTTCATTCAACAAGTTGGATTGAAAATTCGACTACACCAATACGAGCATCAACCTCCATTTATTGAATTAAAACATATATCCTGCCCGAGTCGATTTTTTTTCAATTTATTTTCGATTTATAAATTAAAACATATAACTCTAAACACAGGCTGTACTTCAGCGCGGCGTTCTCCTGTACTATGGTAATCGGGCTGAGGCCGCCCGCGACAGTTCTCGCTGGAGAGATAAAAAGTACATGGACGCGGCGAAATTGAATGCACCGGACACTGAGCCTGCGCTCATTGTAATCAGTTTCAGCGATGGAGAGACCCATAGACTCGCTGTGCCGCCGGGGGAAAACGTCGCCGCTTGTCGACAGGTATGATATTGAGAAAAATGTTAATTATGATTTTACCATTATTATAAAGCAAAGCAAATAATGAAAAGTGTAATATTGCGTTTCGCTTTTAGTCTGTGGATTTTAAGTAAATCCTTGTCTTCCTACGTCTTAAAAAATATTTTATATTCAAAATAATCCGCCATCTGCTGTTACGGTTTTAAAGACTACAGTGAGAGGTTTTTTTCAGTCTTGGATTACAGCTCTCAAGGAGCATATTGCATATTCTGGACATTATCTGTGGGCTGGAGCTGCTCCTGATGCGGCAAGGGAAGCAACTGAAGACTTGGAAGATGAATGCAAACCGCTCGGTAATGTCAATTTGATAATTGTCCTTTTTACATTGGTGTGGTCCTTCGAGCCGTGACATTTTTAAAATAACTTTGTACTGCTTAATTTTTTATTCTTTACTTTATAAATTCATTAGCGAAGCAAAATTTACTATTTTTTTTATATTTACTTTCCAAACACTAAATAAGATGAAAAACGAAAACGATCACTGTTAATATAATTATTATGTTTTGTAGGTTCGATGCAGGATGCATTAACGTCAGCCAATAATCACCTCGCGTTAATGAAAACACAATTAGGTGAATGTGAGGTAATTCTTCGGGCTTTAGACAAGACCACGCAGGGCAATTCGCTACAATATTCCGCGTATATGGTAAGTCTTACATTAACACTTGCCATAAACTAAATGGAACGCCATAAGTATGTTTTTGTTCTATCATTTGTTTTTCTCGTTGGTAAAAGAAAGGAAGCGTATATTTTTATTTTCTTACAGCGCTTTCAGCACGTCTTCGGATCTGGGCATGCAGCGCTTCAAGCGCTACGACATTGCACTGCGCTTGTAGCACAGACACGTGATAGAGACGCCACTGCCTTAGCAAGAGAGGTAATATATATATATGAGGCAACGGCCTGATATGCCGGAAATGCATGATAAAATCATGTTTTTCAATAATGAGGAAAGTGAAAATGCGCAATTAACTTAGACGAAAATTATTCGCATAATATTCATATAAAAATTCTGTAAACAATTTTCAGTCACTGTGCTCTTGTAGATTAACATCTTTAGACTGTAAAAATATAAATAACTCATGTCATAAAATTGCAGTTAGGCTACTCTGCCTCAAGCGGCTTTATATAACGTTTATATCCTCTTCATTGCCCGAAAAAAAAAATTACATATACAATTGTAGGTGGAACGCAATCGAGTGCTAGAGGAGGCGTTGGCAGCCCTAGCTAGAACACACCACGCATTGGAAATGTCAGTTGCTGAAGAACTTACTAAAGTTAGTGTATTAAGTTGCATAATACATAGCAATGGTTTATTTTGTAATGCAGATAAGTATATCTATAACATATACATTGTTATAGAGCAAACGCAAGAAGAAAACGCCCCGATCGCAACACGACTCAAAAGAGAATTTCTTCGATGTTTATGACGGTAGGTGAATTTTCCACATTTTCAAGCTTCATCCGGTTCAAAGGACCAATTTCAAATTAATTGAAGATGGAATGTAATCAAATGATATGCACATGTGTATTACGTTAACCGATACATTTTAGATTCAGAAGACGATGATGATACTCTAGTGACAGCTGGGCTCTCCAGTCCTCTCGGAGCACTCAGTCCCTGGGGCAGTAGTCCAGACTTGACGAGGCGTACTCCTATTGGTAGTGACAACGGTAAAGAATATAGATAATTTTATTATGTTTATTTAATTAAGAATAAAACTACATATATATTATATATTCGAATCGTGCTGTTTTGTTGTGTAAATTTTAACTTTCATAAATACACTAGGTGACGTCACACCGACCAATGAGAACCAAGAGTTGTTTGAGCGTCGCTTATCCGGTTCTTTCACGTCCGGTTCCCCTCAGTCTCTGCATACCGCTATAAGCCCTTGCAGTTCCCGTGGGACTCTGGTTTCGCAGGACGGACACGTGTATAGAAACGCGAGGACCTACAGAAAGAATAATATACCCAGGTAAGTTGATTTACAGTTTTAAACACGACTTCGCCAATAATATTCAGGTCCAAAATGTTTCTAATAAATTTATATTTTTCTAAAACAATTAATTGGGTGGGTCACGAAGCACCGTCCACAGATAAAAAACCGTGAAGTTTAATTGTGTTTTGGTTTCCGAAGCAATAATAGGTCCACAACACATCTTGTTGAGAAGTTAAATGGAGTGTTTAACCTTTCATCAAGTAAATCTAATGTTGTCTGTCCTCCTCTATAAATAAAATAAGACAATCCTGTGTACACAAATAGTTACTTAACACAAATAACTGACATGTTCTTGGTTAGAAAATTTTAGTTATTTATTGATTTCCTTATTTTTGTCATCATTCATTTACTTTGTTTTGTTTTTTAATTGTTTCAGCTCGAAATGGTCGCTTTAAGCGCACAATTTAATCAACGGCATTTTATCGCATTTGACAATCAATTCGCGCAAATATTTTTGACAGTTGCGATCGGCAAATTTTACAAATTACTTAAACATACCAACAATTTACAGTATTTTTTATTTCATTTTTATACTATGTTTATATATGTACGTATGTAAAAGTTGAATGTGTGTAACTGTGATAATGTTTTGTGATATCCATAATAATTGGTTAAATGACAATTAGATAATTACATTCAAAGACAATCCAGCATGCGTGTGTGTTAATGTGAAAAATCTGTAAATATTCACATTATAGTGGTATTATGTGAATATTTACCGATGGGCTGGAAAAAAAAGCTTCGACTGTTCTGTTCATAAATAGGTGCTACTTAATTGGTATAAGAAATATAAATATTGACTTTGAAGGATTTGTATATGTTTTGAATCAGATAAAATCTAGATTTTTTAAAATAAATTTCAAAAATCTGTACATAGATCTGTAAACGCCGTAATACATCGTCTAATTACTGTTAATGTATCAATGTGTGTAACCTAGAACTACCCTGCCTTCTTTGTGAGTTTTTTTTAGTTTATGTTGTATTCGCCATATTAATTGTGTTATATTAGTTATCGGAATATTTTGATCTCAGTTAATTGTGAATCTAGATATTGTTATAAAAACCTTTTTTTATTTTTGTCGCCTAAAATAGCAAGCATAATAAAAATACATGCACAAACCACATCAATCAACATTTTAGTTATTATAATTTTGTTATTATTAAAATCGTTTGATTAAATTTTGTTTTTATTCATTTTTTCTACCCTTCCAGCGAAAATGATTTTTTTTTCTTTGAAAAACAAGAATATAAAGATCTTAAAATTAAATAATGTCTCAAAAATACTGCCATCATATTCATAACATCAACATTGTCTGTGGAGAGACAGTGTTGCGGTATATAATTGATTCATATTAAAAATTATGTCTAAAACAATAATCGATATATTACATACATACATTTACAAAGGATGAATGACAGATTAAAAAAAGGCTATGGGAATTTCAACCAAGCTTTTGTTGAGATATTAAGTCAATTTAAAAAAAAAACGGTTAAAACGTGATACATAAGCCGTCCTGCAAAGCAGCCGAAACTTCGGGCTGTAGTTAAAATGATTTTCAAATTAGTTTCACTAATATATATCACCTTTTAAATAGTTACGTATTTTATTTAAATGCGTACTCACGTAAACTACAGACAGTAAAGACATTAATTGCCATCACATTTATGCCGAAAAGGTTTTCTACAAATAGGAACGGAATGGAATAATATATAATATACATATTTATAATTACGATTTTTACAACGTATCTACCTTAAACGAACGAACTCATCCCAAATGAATGACAGTGACCTTGCCACGGTCTGGGGAGAGATTCGCAAGTAAACACGCCGCAAATCAATACTATTGAGGTAATGGCGAAGTAGAAACATAACTATGAAACTATAGTTTGAGGATGGATACATAATATATACAGCCATATATACTCGTATACCCATAGATAAACTCGTTCTTCGGTTATTTTTCACATGTGCCGTTATGGCACTATATAAATAAAAAATCGAAAATAAATTGAAAAAAATTACGTCAAATTGACTCAGTATCTTAATTGATTATAGCAAGCACGGAACGTTTACGATGCCGGTACAAGTCCGGTCTGAGGCGTAAATTTTTCAATTTTTCATTTATAAAAACTTCTTATTGGTTTATATGAAAAATATGTCGTGTTTTGAATTGGTTTTTCAAATATTTAAGAATGGTTTCTAATAAAAGTAACATCACTCAATACTCGATAATACTTGATATCGACAATCCAACAATGAAACTTGGGAAAAGCTGTGAAGTCATACTTATTTCATATACATATATTTCTTTCAATTTTTTGCTACACGTTTTTAATAATAGTTGCATTTTGTTAAATACTTTATTAAAAACCACACAATAAAAGCTATTCAGGTAATATATATACTACTACATAAGATATTATGTTGCTAATTATAAAACAATACGTATTTTATCAAATGTGACTAATACGGGGAAGCGACGATCAATTGCGTTGACATCCCCACATTTTACAGTTTAATTCATACTCAGTTGTTCTAGAACTGTTTTGTTAATATTATGGTTTCCGATATAGTTCTCTTTCGCTAACATCAATCTAATCACTTACTTATATTTTACTCTCTATAAAAATAGACATCAGGTTTCAGAAATAAATAATAAGATATTGTTTATTTATTTTATTTTAGAAAGTTATCATATAACAAATATTTTTACGTACATTTAATATTCATAACATTTAATATTGAAAAGGAGTTTGTTGCCTTCGGCTCCAATTGTATACAAACGTCGGACACATTTGGCAACAATAAATAACCCTTTTAAACTTAAGAGTACTTATCCCTCATGCGACTTAAAATGTTACTTACCAACTGTTTTTTTTGTATACTGTGTAAGTTGGGCGCCATTACCGGAGGGTGGTTTGCGTGGGTGAGGGTAGGCGAACGGCGTCGACCAGTCTGAGATATTCAGTATTTTTCTGTAGTTAGTTGTGCCGCAGCGTTCGGTCGTTGCACACGTATTTTTAGCGATAATAATTGTTACGTAATTCGTATATTAAGAGCGTGCAGTGGTGGTTTTTACAATGGTCTTCTAATATCGGTAAATAGACTAAAATAAGACAAAAATGTTATAACATATTTAAATTATTTTAAAGTGTTGAATTAGCAAGATCTTTAAAAAGTAATATATATTATGACACCTTGTAGCGTACTAGTAGTTTAATATGAAACGTCCATATTTGCAATCCAAAACAAACATATTTATAAACTGTCGATCTGATTAAAAAGTTTATGAGTTTCTCAAACGCAAGATTTTTTCAAACACTAACTTAAGTCTGCGTTTTCTTTTGTGTATTGATGAAAAGTAGAAAATGCGTAAAATACATTTTGACTCAGACACTTCCGTCTCTATTATTACTTAGATTATTTTCCACTTAGATCATTAGTTAGGAAAACAAAAAAAGTTTTTCGGTCGGGCAGGGCACAGAAGTCTGATAAAATACTTGCCTGTTGAAGAACGGATCAGTGAAACGGACACAGAAATGTGTTCGCCCCATGCCCCACGAGGGAAAAGCGGGATTTCACACACATATTCTTGCCATTTCGTTCTATTGGCAATCCTGAATCTACAGGGTCATATAAATGCCACCTTTACGGAATACGGAATTTTCGGGAACGGGGGTCGATTAAGCTTTCAGAACATCGAATATTCGTAATCGTGTTGCGGTCGTTTTCTTGTATGACTATTGCGGGTGAATATATTATGATTCAATTTGTGGTTTTACAGTCGTTTAATTTATCCTAACCGTTTTAAATTCAGCAGATTAAAAAATACGAGTACAGATAATTGATAAATATATTTATTTATTTCAGTTTTATTATTTATAATATATACCACAAAAACTACAAAAGATAAAAAACTTACGTAGGTACTAACTTATAAATGGCGGCCTTATCGCTACGCAGCGTTTTCTTCCAGGCAACCTGAAGTACAGGAAAAGAGAAAAAAATCTTATTACGTGGGTAGGTGTAAGGAATAATAAAACATAGTGAATATTTAACGGATTAAATTTATTAAAATAAAGCACTTTTACAGATTAAAATCTTAAACATTTTAGAGGTGTAACTTTATTTTTAACTACGACCCGATATTTCGAATGCTTTGCAACTGAAATGAACTTACCACGACGTACAAGTTTAATTAACTAATGTGGTTAGTGTTTTAATTAGAATCACGGTACAACGTGTAAACTAAATTTATGTAGTTTAGTATGTTCCATTGTTTTTACGACTCTAGTACACATTAGATGTATTTCTTTATTTAGCGGGTTCGTTGGTCTAATGTATGGCTAATAATCAACGGGTCGTGGGTCCAACAGACCCGGTGGGGGTAGAACTGTTTTTAATTTTTAAATTTGTCTGGAAATCTGGATATTAAATGGAGGGTAGGAATATAGAAGTTTCGTCCGGGTCACGAACCACCGGCTACAGATTAAAATGCCGAGAATCCAAAGGCAAAATAGGTTGACAGCGTATTTTTGTGCATTGTTTAGATGCTATAGGCTGGGGTTTATCACCTACCATCAATTAAATAAAACATGTTAACGGTTTAAAACGCGATATATTAGTTAAACTTATTTGAAAATGATTTTTAACTTTTTAACTGTTAAAAATCATGTTCAAATAAGTTTAACTAATATATCGCGTTTTAAACCGTTAAAGTGTTTTATTTAAATGTGTACTACTCGCGTAAACTATAGACAGTACCTATCATTTAATTAATGTTGTTTGACTGTCTTTCTCTATCGTACAGAAAAAATACTTGTATCGTAATTTTTAGAAGCAATAATTTAGACATTTTTAAAGTAACAATTGCGCTTTACAGGAAAAGTAGTCCTTATTTACTGTAGCAAGCAACACTTTGGCATCACTCCAATACTGCATAATATTAGTCCTTGAAGGTGCTCGACGTAAAAATTTCAACTCGGCATTCAATTAATCCATGTTATAAGTTCGCAGTCGCTTGAATAATTACGAAGTAAGTTTTCGTTGAATAATTGTATAAATAAGGTATAATCTTAATAAGGAAATTTAATATGATAAAAGAATTGATGGCACAGTTGAGACCCGAACCCAGCTCTACCAGTTATCTTACCGAACAGTTATTTTGCCTAACGTAGGCATAATAATAATAATTGATAAATACCGTAAACTTAGAATAATTATAGTCTTTCTTTCTTTTTAAGTAAGTGTTTCAGAGCAACAAATGTACCATCGTACCATACCATACCATACCACATCATACCATAACCCAAAAATATAACATCGAGAAAATACATTTATAAGAAATTCCATAACAATACGTATTAAGTTTTTACCCTTGTTTAGTATACATAAGTAGATAACCTGTATTAAATCGTCTAGAACAAAAAATAAAGGTTCTTTTCCCCCTGAAATAGGTCATGCCGCGGTGTCTCAATCCCTAAGGAGGTGGGCCCCGCCCACTTGATATATTTTCTCGCTTTTTTTAGATAATTATGTTCCTTTATCCAGCCCCTATCTTCTTAGAAATATCTTTAATGAAATTTACGCTGACTTTATTCCATCGAGTATCGAAATAGTAGACTTTAAACGTATTTTTATATAGTAATTTAATACGAAATTGAAGATTTTTAGAACTAAATAATTTAAAATAATATTACAGTAACGAATACGAATTCTTATTTTACTATTTAAGACAGCTACTCGACAAAATCATGTACTGTTTTACTGTTTAACCCATAGTCTTATTGTTTTCATATCGCCACGCGAGTGATGGCTTCATGAACAAATTGTGAAAACTTTCTCAACAGTTTTCCAATTTTAACTGTCTCGTTTTAAATTGTTTTATGATTTTTTTGGCCATTCTATAAAATATTATTCCAGGTTAAACCTTCAAACGAATATTCTATGTCCAGTTATCAAGACGCCTCTACATATTTTAAACAAATTCGATCTGAGTAAAGTCTGTTGCTTCTTACACAGATAAATATATACGCCATACTTTTTCGTGCAAAAGTTTCCCCATTATTTGAACAAAAAGGGCCTTACAACCCTGACCTGAATCCGCAAATGTCAGGCATACGTGTAGCTTAATTGTTTCTCCGCATTAGTAACTTTATAGATGTTTACATATATAATATAAAGCGTTCTTAATGAGAATTTGTTGTAAGTCTATGGTTCAAGTAGAAGGTAAACTCAGTTTCTTTACATTTATACATTCTTTTGAAAAGTGTGGAATAAACTACCACAATAAAAATAGAACGCATTAAATAATTTACTTCAAGTATATGATCTCTACAGAATTAAATTAAATTCTTAACTTGACGGTTTTAAAAATTTAATATGACATTTGGAGTTCCCCATTGTATTTACTCCCCCATGACCACGATTAATTGTCTATAGTTAGCGAACAACTCGCAATACTGTAATGGTGTATTCGCGTGTAAGTATAATAATTTTGCAAGTTTTGATTACAAAGAGTGTTAGTTTATCTAGTATAGAATAAATATCATATAGGCATTTTAGTAAAAAACCATCACTGTTTGCCATGGACATTAAATGATTTGTGTGTGACATAGTGGATTAGTTTCGTGTGGACTTTGAAAATAATTTTTGAACTCTCGCTGGTTGTAAGATGGAAGATAATGCTCACAAACAGTGCGAATATAGGTAAGTGGTCATTTTTAAACACAGTTAACCTAATACTGTCTGTAGTTTACGCGTGTAGATTTAAATAAAACACTTTGACGGTTTAAAACGCGATATATTTTAGTTAAACTTTAAAAAAAATATATTTTCAACTGAGGCCGGCGTTTCGGATACTTTGCAGCCGCCGTGGTCTCCCCGTGACCTCAATCAACTACTTCTCAAAAAAGTTTAACTAAAATATATTGCGTTTTAAACCGTTAAACTGTTTTATTTAAACAGTTAAGTCATCAAAGGGTTATATTAAAAAGTACTAGGAAAAGTAAAAGTTTGAACTTTATTATTCTTCACATTAACACGTGAATGATAGAAATATATATATATATTAAAATCGATTATAAATTGAAAAAAAATTACGACACGGGCAGGACTTGAACATCTACAGCGTTCCGTGCTTTTGCTCTCAAGTCCGAGTCGTATATTTTTTTTTCAATTTGTAATCGTTTCTTAATTTATAAAATTTGCTTGCTTGCAGTCTGATAAATTTTACAATTTATACCGATCATCTTCATCTAAAAATCATGTGTGACGGATCATTCAAATGACAAAAAGAACATTATTTGACGTAAGTAGTTTGGTAACGACTTGTAACAAGTTGTCAAAAAACGTGTAATTAATAGTTGAAAAGGAGAAACCGCTAGACTGGGGTGGGGTGATTGATAGCGGTCTTAGCTTAAAACATAATTTATTGTGTCAGCAAACGTTCTAATTACCTCCTAACCAATATTTAACGCTATGTATTAACGTGATTTCCTTTTTTAACCTTATGTGAGCAAATTCGCGTAAGCTTGGAATAAATTGTAGAACGCTTTCGTCGCTAATTTGCAAAGCGCTTCGTTTTTCGCCCATCGTTATTACTAAGGAGTAAACGAAAGCTATATCTGGACTTTGATTAGTTGAGGAACGTTCAGAAACGCCAACTATAGCTGTGTTTTTTTAATATGTTAATTTTTTTTAGCATCCTTGTTATTAGAAGTAGTGTAGTTTAGATAGACTGCAATATTACTTGCTTGCTGCTTACAAATACAACCCAGATTATAATAAAAAAATTTAGACAATCTCCACCTTTATATGTTAATGTTTTTACTGGCTGTACTCTAACATACGAAACAACGTGGATTAAAACATTGACACAATAGCGCCATTTAAGTAAAAATAAACATGTTTTTCTTGGCAAAATTTACTCATACAAAAACTTCCATTTTCCTCTCACGTTAGTCAAATTTCATATTTCAATTTACCATCCCAACCCCCCTTCGAGTCAGATGACTTACTTAACAAGTTTGCGCCACGTAATTTGCCTTCAAGATTGTTTACCTTTAGCCTTTTGCTGAACATATAAAATATCATAGGGATTCGAAGTCATGATTGTACCAAAGGGCACCACTAGGGCAAGTACCTCATTGGTTGTGCAAATGTTCGTTGCTTATTTTAATATTGAACGAAAAATTAAAAATAATATTATCCTCGTGCCTCAGAGTCAGTTCTTGGTTCTAATTACGAGTACAATCACTAACTTAGTGTGGGGAAAAGCCCGCTTCCTAGGAATAAATAAATTTAATGATATCTTTATGTAGGTATTTTTGTAAGTTATATCTAAATTAAAAATCTTTTTAGATTAGAAAAAAAATACTATACCAGTGAGTCTTGAACAGCCATCGAAAGCGTTCCGTGCTGCTTCTTTAATTCAGTTATGAGAAATCGTAAAAAATGTAACTCTAATAGGATTTTTTATTTATCAACTGCCATCATGTGAAAATGTTAGAAAACAAAAGTTTTCAGTTTGTGACTATTTATTTTAACGTATATTAAAATCTTGTTTTATTAGTTGTATATAATATAATTATTTATTAGCCTGATTAACATAAATATATTCTTTAAAATGATGTGTACCTAGATCAGCTAATATGTAGTTGAAGGCCTATATATCTCATTTTATTTTTCATCTCTTTTTCGTTATTAATAGTTTAAAGTGTATTATCTACTTTAGCCACAGACTTATAATAACTCTGTATAAACTCTTCGACAGTTCGTTATTCTAATGGTAGCAATGTGTGTTTAATAAACTGTTCGTAAGTTTGATCCCCACCAACGTGTTTCTAATTTATAACTTTTCTGAAACATGTTGGACTTCGTCTGGGAATCTGGATATTAAGTGGGTAGTAGGAATAAAGAAATACCGTCCGGGTCACGAACCACCATCCACAGATGAAAGAGCTAAAAATGTCCGTATATTTAAAGACAAAATAGATCGACAGCGCATTTGCGTTTAGATGCTATAGGTTGGTGTATATCACCTACCATCAAGTGTACCATCTACCCAAGAACACGAAAACTATGTATTCTTTCTTCCTTTTTAACATGTGAGTATAACAATTTAATAATATTGTTCGCGTTAAATCAAACTGAAAAAACGTAATTTTCCTGAAATTTCCGTAGAGCAAACTCTAGCTTCCAGTGGAACATCATTGGCTTTTCAACCCTGTTCAAAATTAATTCCGAACTCGCCCACGGGTCTCAAGAGTTTCAGTTAAAACAGCAATCCACCGCCAAATAGTTCTTCAAGGAAATTCAACTTAAACTAAACGAAAATAGTTAAGCATATATTTACACAACACAGTCTTATATAAGTTGCATTTACGATCGTCGTTTATTTCAACTTTATATGTACCTAACTTAGACTACATGGCTCAGTAGATAAATTTAGTTGCGTGAAAAATAATTTCAGAGCTCCATGCTTCCATAGAAGGAAATGGTTGCTCCAATAGGCCTGCCCACATATACACACAAATGTTATGTACACAATAGTTCAAATCACAACAAAACGTAACATTTTTACATGTATTGTGTACCTCACAATGTTACTATGAATGAAATTTTCCCCGAGTATGACATATTTAACTGCAAATTGTATGTCGCATTTATGTAATATTACAATTAAGATTTTTTTTAATTTCACATAGTGCTAGGTTGCTACTTGGAATATTTCCTAAAGGAATTCCAAATACTAACTCAATAAATTAAAAACATTATAATAGTATGTATAAAATATAAGTTTTTGTATAAACATGTTAATCTTCTTTGCTCTTCAGTTAAGCTGATCTCTATTATTTAAATATGATACATGATGTTATTTATAAAACCCCGGGGTGTACAGCGCCTACAGACTATATCGTTGACCCACATTTTGAAAAGCACTGAATTTACGAGAACGACTTTCTCAAGGGAATTTTATTTGCAGACGAGTTTGTTGCCATTTTGCTTTACATATTTTATTGTATTATCCTCAAATACATATGAATAACACGAACCTATTTTTAAATAAGATACCTTAGCGGTTTAAAACGTGATATTAAAGGGAGACGGTATCTCCATGACCACGGCTGCAATGCCGAAACATTGGGTCGTAGTTAAAAATTTTTTTTCTACAATCTGTAAAAGTAAAAAAATAGTACAATTACAAATGAAAGTAGAAAACTTTTACGTATTCATAAAAAATAAATGAGAAACTTCTACGTCTTCAACGAAAGTTAGAATATTGTTAATTCATTAAAACAATTAGGGCTAATTTTCATTGTTGTTTGTCGCTTGAAAAGAGTCTTTGAGAAGGCCTTACTTTACTACTAACCTATAACTTCTTCCTACTGAATATTTACGAGGTGACTAAGTTGTTGGACAATTTTAGTGTCGGTAGTTACCATATCGTATAAGCATTTGGCGAAATATATACCGATATTGGCGATACATGATGTTCATTTGTTATCGTATTAAAAAATAAAATTGAGATTGATAAATAGCAAAACAAATACGACTCGGGCAGGACTTGAACCGGCAACCTCAGCGTTGCGTGCTGTTGCTCTCCTATTACCTTTACAAGATGTCATTCGTGTTTTAAATTATTTAAAATGTTTCTTAAATTAATATGATTCTTTAGAAAAATTTAAAGTTTTCTGTTATTGAATTTTCATATGCCTTTTTTATTTATTCTTATATCCATACATACCTACATATGCAATACTTTAAATAACAAGCAGACAAGTACACAAAAGCGAAGTATTCAGTTACGATGTTAAGTTAAACAAAACAATTGTAGTCTAGACGAGAGATTCATAAAACAAGTCCTATAACTCTATATCAGTGATACAAATACAAACAAACTTCGAAGCGGGTTGCTACGAAAAGTAAACATACAATTTCCCTTCGAATGAACGATACATGTGACTTCATAGGGAATGTTAAACATTTTATTGTATGATTTGTCTTAAATATTATTAAACTGAATATACATATTCCCAAATATTGATTATATAGCTTATAATAGCTTATTTGCAACTTAAAACTTATTAAAAATCTTACATTGTTAAAGCATACTGTCAAATATACTAACATAATTGCTAGCTAGCGAGATAGTGTAAAGATTTCACGCGACAAGTAGTCAGGAGAAATATCCAATACAATATATTATAGCATGAATATTAACCACCATTTTCCTTGCCAATCAATGTTATTTGATATCCAAGTACAAGCACTGCCAAAAGTCAAGTGGCTTGGTTGCTTACTTATAGAATATAAAGAAAGAAATACATTTGTTTTTATTATTATAGTAGATATCTACATTGATGTTTAAGATTGCAAGTTTTGTTTAAATATAACTGTACTTATATATTAGTGTTTAAAAACCAACTGTTGAACGTATTTAAATTAACTCGTACTATGTTGCTACGACACGAATTCGTAGCACGTCGCAGCTACAGCCGTAGCAAATTAGAATATTCTTAATTTTTTTGGCCTGTACGAAAAAAAAAAAAAAAAAAAAAAAGGGAAAAAAAAACCCGCGGGGGGGGGGGCGGGGGGGGGGGGGCCGGGGCCCCGGGGGCGCGAACCCGTTTTTAAAGCGTTTTATTTACTTTCAAATATTACAAATTAGAATCTTCTTAATAACGTTCATGTTATAAATTTTATTAAAAATCTCGGAGTTCATTTATAGATGACATATATATGTAGAAAATAAAATTAGAAAAAGTTGTAATGGTTTTTTGATTTCCTTTACTACTACTACTAACAACACGCCTTATAATCATTTTTATATCGCTTTTGTTAAAGTGTTACAAAGCTCAACACTACATTTGGAAGAATGCCAAAAAGTATTTTCCAGAATGAGTACCACCATTTCGTTACCGTATCGTTATGCGTAACGAAATATAAATCGTATCCGTTTAAAAGCATTCAAATGAGATACATCTGAATATTATTACATCCGGCCGAGTAAGCCTCGGGATGCGAGTATTGATCGTTCGGGAGTGACCTTGAACAACTCGGCCCGGCTTTCACAAACCAAGTAACGCGCAGGGCTGTCAAAATTGAAACATTTATTAAACACGTGACTCGCTCGCACTTTAAGGCAACGTTTGTTTGGGTGTTACATTTTAAATTATTAAATGTTGATAAAGGACAGCAAATAAATACTAAATAAAATAATAAGAAATGTAAAACTATTGAGATAAAAATAATTCGATTATTCTTTTATACATTTATATTTTTGCTTGGAATTAACTTTCTGATTATGGGGTCAAAGATTTTGTGACCTTACCTATACCTTAGTTTATTATTAAACTAAATTATACTAACGCCGTTGTCAGCACATTATTATATACGATATTTATAGTGAAATAAATTATAAAAAACGCAAGATGTTAACCCTAGTAAAAGGTCTCGTTTCGCAAAAAATACACGCGCCCTTCATAAACCGTCTCAAAAGAATCTCTAAGGCGAAATCAAGAGGGCTTTCAAACTTTTTATGATCGAGTAACGATGTGTCATATTTGCATAACAAGGTACTTGAAATTGAGTGGTTTTAGGGTGTTGAATTTTCTTAAGGTTTAATACACACTGCTTAAATCGCTCTTATAAAAAAAATGATTCTGATTTTAAACGACCACAAAAATTCTCCCAATTTACTGTTTAATACTTATTTAAGTCTAAACGCTTAAATAGTATTGTGAAATATAGCCTTTATATTAAAATGAATGTATAACGTAAGACGTATTTCAAAATAAAATAACTCTGTAGTTCATTATCAGTGCTTTTTAATTACAACAAAGCAAATATTATATACCGTGACGCCTCTTTTTATTTTGTCATATAATTCCACATATTTATAAAAGTAAAGAAATTAAAGTAGGCCATTACTTGTATATTTAACGGTTCGTCGTGTCAACATTTTTTTACAATACGTTTCTCATTTCTAGAACATCACTACCAGTTGCCCAGTTTAGTCGTGGCGATTTCTCCCTGTGGTCGGTGCTGAAGAATTGTGTCGGAAAGGAACTGTCAAAGATCACAATGCCGGTGGTCTTCAATGAACCGCTCTCCTTCCTCCAGAGGATGCTGGAGTACCTGGAGTATGCTCATCTTCTAAGGATGGCTTCAGAACAGACGGATCCTGTTAATCGTATGGAGTATATTGCAGGTTCGAGTTTACGTGAATCTTTTACTGCCTTTGCAGTTGCTTGAATTTTTGACTGGCAGACTGGCAGGGTTACATGATTGGAGGTGGAGTACCACAACCATATAGCATCTAAATACTGTCTATAGTTTACGCATTGCGTAAATAGCTTAAGCAATTAGTACGGATTTAAATGCGACACTTTAAGGTTTAAAACGCGTTAAACTTATTTGAAAATGATTTTTAACTTCGGCCCGACGTTTCGGATGCTTTGCAGAAGCCGTGGTCACGGGGAGACGTGGCATATATCGCGTTTTAAACCGTTAAAGTGTTTAGTATTTATATATAGCATCTAAACAAGATATATTGTCAACCTACTTTGGCTTTGGATATTTGCCGTTTTCCGATTAAACCTTTTGTTGTGTTATCCTTACGATAACAACTAACCTTGTGCTTTTTAACGTGTAATTAATATTACATTATTCTACCAATGGTCTCCAGATGATTAGCTTCCAAAAAATAAACGACATTGAATATATGATAAGTAACACCAAAAATCAGCTTTAATTATTTTCTTCATCATTACAATTGCAAAACGTTTCCAGCGTTCGCAGTAAGCGCTCTAGCCTCAAATTGGGAACGTCTGGGGAAGCCATTTAATCCACTCCTTGGGGAGACTTATGAGCTGGAACGAACTGAGTTCAGAGCCGTCTGCGAACAGGTAAACCAGAAATGCTTAAAATTCTAAACAACTAGAGAAGACGGCATAGACTAAGTCAATAATTTAGTACGAATATGCTTTGCCTTAACTTTAGATCTTTAATGACTGAAAATACGGTGTACGTTATATTTATAGTAAGGGCTAGCCTTTACCCTCACTGTCTTAATTTATTGAACTACTCCCTTATGTACTCAATATTTATAAAAAAAAATTTAGGAGGATCGTTTTCTCCGTTATTTCTTATACATTTTCTTTTATTATAGAAGTAAACTTGAGTAATTATTTTCTATGGTGTGATTGCAGGTGTCACATCATCCCCCGGTATCAGCATTCCACGCCGAGAGCCCTCACTTCGTCTTCCACGGCTCTGTTCATCCAAAACTTAAGTTCTGCGGAAAGAGTGTTGAGATCCAACCAAAAGGACACGTCACTGTCGAATTACCCAGGTTAATATTACAAATAAAAACATTCTTGTGTCTTTTTACATAAATTCTTACTATGAAATTTACTACAAACGAGTTCAAGTTAACTTAAACTAGAAAATATAAATAAAGTTATAGGTCCATTTATTTCAAGCAGTGTTATTTGAGAATAAAACAATATGATTTATAGTAATCATTATTTAGTTTGTGCTGTCAATTTTATTTTGC